CTCAAGCTTCTCTGTCTGTCTTGAGCAGAGACGCATCCATGCTACTTTGGTGCTCAGAGAGCTCAGCCACAGGGAGGACTGGCTCTTCTTTTACTGGAAATACTGAGTGGATATGCAGAGACTGATTTTAAGTGTCTCTTTAGTTATTAATATTCTTCTTAATGCTGTGGTGTTCCATGGTGGCATGTGGATCCATTCCACACTATCCACTGGTATTATAGAATGTAGATGTAACTAACTGTCTTATTAAATAAGAAACACAGAAACAATGTAAAAGAGAAAGCCGAGAGGTCAGAGCTCAGAGCTAAAATCTCACCCTTCCTCCTGCCATCCCAGCTTCGCGAAAGAGGGCTACTTCCTGTCTGTACGCCTTTTTTATAGTATTATTGTTCTGCCTTCTCATTGGTTGTAAACCCAAACATGTGACGGCCTCGTCACTGTCTGAATGTACAGCCCCCTAGGTCTTAAAGGCATATGTCTCCAATGCTGGCTATATCCCTGAACACACAGAGATCTATGGGATTAAAGGCGTGTGCCACCACCGCCACACTCTTGCTATGGCTCTAATAGCTCTGACCCCCGGACAACTTTATTTATTAACATACAATCAAAATCACATTTCAGTACAATTAGAACACCACCACAATAGAATTATTACAAAAATTTACCACATGTCAAATAACTGTGCCTAGGAAAAAAAATAAGCATCTTGTTTAGCTTGGCTCACCATATTTTCTAAAGAATCATGTAGTTGGTCTAGTCTTGCTGCCTTAAGAGGCACGTGTCATAGGTTTTCAAGTTAGAGTCCATGTCTCCTGGGGCACTGTGTGCCTTTCAGTTCTTGATGAACTAAACTGCTTCCTCAGGTAGTGAAGCTTTCAGTCCCACCTCTGTTTCTCTGTGTTCCCTCAAGTCTTCAAAGCATATAGAAGCTAGACAAGACAATTGGTCATAGGTATTAATATTTTATATCCATATAACTTACAAACAGTATAGTATACTGTTATGTTCCATTGTAATGATCCAAGAAAGTGCTGTTATTTTGCTTTACATAAAAGTCTTGAAAGTCTTATTGGTCACAATAAACTTGACACAGCATTAGTATTGCTGTGGACCCTCCATCCTTGCCTAGTTAAATTCAGTTCTCACTGACCATAATCAGAAAATCCTGGCTCACTAAGAAACTGCTGGTGCTTACAAGGTTAGTGTCAATTGGACTCACATCATTGTGAATGATTTCTTTGCCCAAATCCTAGGGAAAAAGTTCTGTTCTTATTCATTAAATATTGCTCAAATATTTATTTCTTTACTTCAGTATACCCAGAGGATATTAAGAAGTTAATGTAAACACACCTTGTGTCCAGAGTGTGCTCAACATCAGGCCCACTGTGGTCATCATACGTCACTGGCAGCCATGTGTACTGACCTTCATATGGACATTAGATAACAGACCATGGATCCCTTAGTTTTTTATCTTCATATTGTGCTGTTCAGTAAGTTGGGTTGATCTTGATCTCAGTAATCCCATATTCTATAGTCTGTTTCTTTCCCAAACTATCTTAACACAAGCTGTCACGATAATAGAATCTAGACAAGGCTCAGGTCTGCACTGGTAGACTCTCTTTCCTTTTACAGATAACAGAATTCTGCAGCACAACTAATTCAGCAGCAAACATCACTTCTCCCACTGATGCTTCTCTAATTCACATGGAAAACTTCTCAAATTTCCTAGCTTCATAAGCAACAAAGAGTTGCATTGCATTAAGCATGGAGGCAATGTTAACAAGAAAACACCAACATGAGGCAGAAAACTGTGATAAGGAAAAATCTGTTGCCACTGGAAGAGAGTTAGGAAAGAGACAGTAGATGACATCAGCTGGCATGTGCACAATGGTCACTCAGACTTTTCCACAAGCTGAGCAAATAAGAAACATCTTGAAAGAAATCATTGCATGGGACATTGGGTTGCAAATTAAAGGGATTCAAATTTCTAATATTCATTGATTGAAAAAATTAATTACCTCTACTCTGTTAGAGTAGTAACACATTGGAAGCAGGAAACAGTAGACATCGTGTTTTCTCATCTATCTTGATAACAACATGGATTCAATGAAGATCTGGATTCTAGTCCCTATGAGGGGAAATAAATTGAAATGCTTTTAAATTATTTAAATTACCCTGTGATTTCCCATTGGTGCTATCATCACCAAGTCTTAAAGTTACAGGTCTTAGTGGAAACATGAAAAGCTTTATTCTTATGTTTATTTCATCTGATAGCAAGGGACAAATGCATATCTGCTGTGCTTCATCGTGAAATAATAATATGTTTATTAGAAATTAAGCAAATATAAATTCTCAAAGACTATGACACACCAAAGGGTCTGTAGAAGACTTTTTAACAGGAATGGAGAAACCACATATTCTAAAATGTAAACAGACATATGCTTGTTTGTTAGGAAGCACATGGAGACAATTCAGAATTTCCTATGGTGTGAGCAGCAATTAGAAGTTCTGGGTAAGGCTACTCAGTTCTTAAGTGCCTCTGTTTTTCCTGGGACTCCTCTGTAGGGAGGTTTGTGTCTGAGTTCACATTGAAGTCTCCTCCCATGTTGCTGGCACAGTTAGATAGGGGCTAGAGTGCAGATTTTAGGCAACTTGGATATAGGAGATATTTCTACTGATACTGCTGCTGGAAGTCCCCATTACAAACTGTGTCTCCAATAGTCCATAGTATGGTGCCAGCATATTCTAACCATTTCTTGTGTGCTGTTAGACCCAGTGAATGTGATGATTTGTTACACAGAAACCAGACAATACAGGTGAGTGACAGGGTCTGCAAAATTTTTATGAGACCAGACCTGATTCCTGTAGCCATGCCTTGGACAGTGCACCTGAGAATATTGACAATCATTGTTCATCATAAACAAAAATTAGGACTACATGCCCAGCTTCATTAACTTAAACATACTGCAGGGAACAGCCACCAGGCAGAAAAGCAGTTCCTGGACACACATACCTTGATGGAGACTCCTATGTAAAAGAGATGAGGGCACCTCAGCCAGGGCTCTGCTTTCAGTCTAAGACTGGGTGCTGGTGTTATTCTTTCTGGGGGGTCACTAGAGGTTATAAAGGGAAACAGAGTGCTGGTCAATTTTCCTGACTAGACAGGGTGATTTACCTGGTGATGCCTAGAACTAGAGGCACAGTCCTCAGGGATGTTTTCTTGATACCGACCTTGTTAACCCACTCTCAAACAAATCAGAAATCATGTGGATCCTGACATCCAGACATTGCCCAGTGAACATGAAGGTGGCCTCCTCTACTTTCTCCATCCTCCAGGCTGTGACTTCCTCCTAGGACCACTTGGCACTGTTTAGTTGGAGGCATGGCCCTCATTAGAGAATCCTCACAATAGAAGACAGTCTCTGAGACCTGGCTAGCCTGGCTGGATGTCCATCTACTTCTTCATCTCTGAAAACCTCATCTTGGAGTCCCTGTGTCTTTATCCCTGATCTTTTGTCTGTGGGTCACCTTATGGAAAACAGGTCCTCTCACTGGGGAGAAGATATGCAGTTCAGTGTTTGGGGATCCCCACCCCTGTGCACTCTCTGCCACCTGCTTTGTGATTCTATTAGAGTTTCTGCAATATTTTTCACCCATTATTTCTCATCTTTGGTTTTTATAGTATTTCACAAATGGTCATTCAGAATTTGAAAAAAAGCATCATAGAACTGAGTATGAATCTTATTAGCTGAAGAGGGGACACATGGTATAAGGCCACTTATCTCTTGATTTGATTTTCCACTTGGATGAATTACTGTGTTTTAGTGTCTGCACTTGGCTTAGGTATCCAGTCCCATGAAACTCTGTAGGAGGAGATCACCAATCACAGGTCAAACACTAATGGTGCAGGCCCAGGTGTATCTACACACATAACTTATAGTTCTTTGCTAAATTACAAGTGGTTTCTTTACTGACACATTTAAAAAAATAGTAATTATCTGTGTAAACACATGATCATTTGTTTTTAACCACAATGCAAAACTATGTGCTCTTTGTACAAAACATTCCAAATTCGAGAGTGAATAAGAGCAAAGTCTGTAGTGGGTAGCCATACCAGCTTTGATCTTGAACCCACTTCCAACCCCCTCTGAGGCTTGGACAACCACCATGCCTACAAGGTGGGGCCAAGGGAGGCGCCGAGAGACTCAAGATCTGGCCAGCGCTCTCTCTGTTCCTGGACCCTTGATGGTGGAAGTTGACCGAGCAGAGCTCCATAGAACACCGATGGACTGTGATACAACTTCCCCAAACCCCACGACCTACATATCCCTTCATTTGTAAGTTATCCACTAAATAAATCTTCCTTTTAACTATGTGGAGTGGCCTTAATAATTTCACCAATAAAAGTCCTTACCAGAGCCATTCACAGTGGACCTCATGAAATCCCTGCTCTGCATTACAGGGGTGGTAACACTCTTGCAGTGATGTATGGACCCCCATTTAAGTCTACAACACGTTCCTTAGGCATAACAACAACTCCTTTGTGTCAATACTCTAGCAAGTACTCTGACGTACAGATGTATCTGAGGGTGTGCATGGAGAATCAAAAGAATTCATATTTTATGTGACAATTAGTATGATTCTGAGGTCAGCTGAGTTTCAAAAAGCTATTTTTATTAAATTTTTTTTCCTAAGAGCAGACATGGCACAGCATATAAAAACTAGATTCACCACTAAAAAACTAGAAGTATTACCACACACAGCATCTTGAGAGTAACAATGAGAAATAGGCAAATGTGACAAAAACACAGTTTTAATGATCAAAGAGAGAAATGACCCCAAAGCCTCCCGTCCTTAAGGAATGAGAAGCAAAGACAGAGAACACCCGATTTTTTTTTTTCTTTCCAGCTCTGAAGTCTTAGAGTTCCTGTGCTTGGTTAGAGCTGAGCGCCCCTTGCTGGCCCAGAGCTCCTCTGCAGGGAGGTTTGTGTCTGGGCTCATGCTGAAGTCTCCTCACTGTGTCTTGCACAGTAATAGGTGGCTGTGTCCTCAGTGGTCACAGAGTTCAGCTGCAGGAAGAACTGGTTCTTGGATGTTTCTCTGGTGATGGAGATGCGGCTCTGCAGGGTTGGGTTGTAGCAGGTGCTACCATCATAACCTATGTACCCCATCCACTCCAGCTTCTTCTCTGGGGACTGCCTGATCCAGCTCCACCAATAACCACTGGTGATGGAGTAACCAGCAACAGAGCAGGTGAGGGACAGCGATTGAGAGGGCTTCACCAGGCCAGGTCCTGACTCCTGAAGCTGTAGCTGGGACAGGATACCTTCAGACAAAAAGAGACAGTTCTGTCAATCACAGGTTGTCACAACCCCTCATGGACACATGTGTGAAATGGTAACACTCACCAGGAAGGGCGGTCACCAGACACAGAAGACCCAACAGTGTCATCTTCTAGGCTACATCTCCTCTTTCTCAGAGGTCAGCCTCCTATGAGAGAGATGTGAGCTCCCACAGTCCAGGAGGGGATTTAACTTAGAGCTAGAAGATGCATTTGCATGTGGGAAGTCAACCTCTTCTTTAGAAATGGGGAGGGTAGATATCACTCCATTTGTCTGCTACACTGTGCCCACCACTGTACCTGAATTCCTGTAGTGTGACTCTAGAGCAAGAAAGCATGAGGACTATAGGGATCATGGGAAACACACCTTGGTAGGTTCAACCTCCACACCTTAGTCCAACCTCCCCAACTACATTCTTTTCCTCCTGTATTTATTTTTCTCTCACATGTCAGGGACAACCTTCTTTTCACGCTTGGTTCCTGAGTTCCCTGCTTTCTGGTTAGTAAGCTGGCCTTTTTCCTACCCAGGAGATGGGTTTCCATGTTTGCTAGAACATTGGTACACTGTCATTTTTTTGTTGTGCAGGGTCCACTCAGACTTCTTGCTCTATCTAATCAGTAAAATGTAGAAGAAACATATGCTGAGAGGAGGAGCGGAGAACTCTACAAGTTATGATCCTCATTCAGGGATCCCATTCATTGTTTATACTGTCCTGGCTTACAGACCACCTGGGTTAGATATGTGACAGTATCATGGGAACAGGTGTGTGATAGCCCATCACAGAGACTAAGGATTAAAATAAATAGGACATTCTTCTGCCTCAGGTCTCTGTATAAATGATGCTCCTCTTGGAGTCTGCAACACTTGTCAGTGTTTGGCCACAATATGAGTCCTTCTGTCTTTACTCATCCTCTTAATTACACCCAAAGATCAGTGCCCTGCTCCTCCATGATGAGAAAATCTTCCTCCTGCAGCACTTGGCAACACATATAGAGACCCACAGACAGACAATATTCTGAGAGTGAGAGACCTTGGACACTCAGTACTATATGTGAGGTATTCATCAAATCCTCTCAGGGTCATGGAACACTGAAGTAGAGGAGAAAATAATATAAGAGCCAGAAGGGATTAGACCCACCAAGGAAATAAGGCCTCTAAATCAATAGGATTTAAAGACCTAAAGTAAGTCTTTTTTTCATTGAATATATATTTTTCTCATAGAATATATCCTGATTACAGGTTCTCCTACCTCTTCAACTCCTGAAACTTCCCACCTGCCCTCCAATCCATATAACCCATCTTGCTGTGTCTCTTTAGAAATCAAACAGGCTTCTAATAAATAATAATGAAATAAAATAAGATGAGATCAAACAAAAACTAACACATCAGAACCAGACAAATAAAACAAACAGAAGTAAGAGAGACCAAGACAGATCTAAGAAACAGGTGCAGATACAGAGACCTCCTGATTTACATACACTGGACTCCCATAAACATTAAATTAGAAGCTGTACTATACAGGCAGAGGAACTTTTGGATAAGAAATAAATAAAATGATAAAAGCCATGTGATATTATGTGTCAAGGAATCTCCAAAAATGCTTTGAAATTTGATTTCTGATGACCATCTACTGCTACACATGCAGCATGTTCTTAAGAGTAGTTGGTTTCCTCAGAGAGACTCCCTTAGAGAAAACTAAGTTTTAATTTGCAAGTGGTTATCAACTGGAGGTAGCTTCTGAATTAGGGATGTGCACAGTGTCTTCTTCCCCTTTCAATTCTAGGACTCCACCTGGTGCAGACACATGAGGGCCCTGTGCATAAAACCTCACTCTCTTTGAATATATATGTGCATCTGTCCTGTTGTTTTAGAGGCCTTATTTCCTTGGTGGGTCTATTCCCTCTGGCTCTTATACTCTTTCCTCCACTACTCCTGTGTTCCACCACCTTGAAGGAATTTGATGAAGACTTCTCATATAGTGCTGATTGTCCTAGGTCTCTCACTCTCAGAATATTGTCTGTCTGTGGGTCTCTATATTGTTCCCAAGTGCTGCTGGAGCAAGCTTTTCTCATCATGGTTGAGCAAGACACTGATTTTGAGTAGAGAAGAATGTCATTGGGAGTCATTTTATTGCAATCTTCTTTTATAGAACAACAATATTTATTTTTATTCTAGGTTTCTGACTATCTAAGCTAAGATTATTGTTCACTCAAGCAGTGTAGAGTAAGGATTCTATTTCTTGTATGAGCCTTATGTCATATTTATCTATTGATGGCTACTCCCACAAGCTTTTTACCATCATTGACATAACATATCTTGCAGGTCAGATAACACTATAAATCCACGGAGTTGTAGCCTGTGTTCATGTTACATTTCGTCTTTTGGATTCTTCTATTCTGATAGGTTTCCATACTTCCCCTCAACTGGCTCTTACATTTAGCTCTCTTGCCCTTTATTCTCCCTGATACTCCACTTTTCTTCACCCTCCCCTTTTGGTCCTCCCTTCCAGCCATCTCCCATGCATCCACAATTATCTATAACAGTTCATTTTCCTACAGGAATTCTGTTCTCTCCATTCAAGTTCCTTAAGACTTAAAGCTCTTTCATTTGAATCCAGGCCTTCAATTCTTACCATGCATGATTCATTCTTGACAGCAGGCTCAAGAATAGGAACAGGCATTTGATGGAGACTGCAGCACTTAAGGACACAAAACATTTCTGTTGAGAGACCAGGGAACATAACTTTCATCAGCAAATAGAAATGATAAGTTAACTGTTTTGTTAGAAATATAATTGGCTATCCTGTGTGATTGTTGAATCTGCCATCAGAGAACTAACAAGTTTAATGAAAAGGAGCATGAAGCTGAATGTTGTCTAGATAGTGTTAATCCCAATGCCAAGAATAAGACCACTATCAATTTGAGCCAAATTTGAAGCAAGTTTGATTTTTATTGGTGTGAACCCAAGAGCTGGGCCAGGACTGAATCTTAATTCAGGTTAAATAGAGCAGCCCTAAACCCTCTTCTTGGGCCTCTTTTAAGGAGTATTTCATGAGTAATTTTACAGAAGGAGACAATGATGCAATAAGGAAATACAAAAGGCTAAAAAAACAACATGTTGCCACCCACCATTTGATTAGGAGGATACTGGGAGTGTCAGGGAGTTTCCAGGGTATTCTCAAAAACAGATCAAGGACATGGGTTTGGGAAGGTCTGGTTCTAGGAACCAGAAAGCAACTCAACTCTCACAGTAATTAAAAACTTATTTTTAAAAAATACAGCATAATAGTGGCTGCCATTAAAATGGTGTCATGTAGGTTCCTCCACAGAACAGAAGACAAGCTTAAACCACATCATTATTATCCATTCATCAGCTGATATGGCTTTAGGCTGATTCTGCACTCAGATGCTCTGAAGAGAGCAATGCTGAATAAAAATGATCTGACATCTTTGCAGTAGAGAGTCCATAGGTCTCTACTCAGGAATAATTTAGTTAGGCCATCTGACATTTCTATGTTTAACTTTTAGAGGAAATTCCTGATGTAATTTCATAGGGAATGCAACAGTTCACACTCTCACTAACCATGCATCATGGTTTCTTTTTCTCCATTGAATCATCAACATTTGGTGTCATCTGTTTCCTCAGTAAATGTCAATCTTACTGTGATAAGATGTAATCTGAATCTTTTTCCTAATTTATATTTCTCTGATGGATGAAAATGTTGAAAACTGTAAAAGGTGTATATTCCATTTGTATAATAGTTGTGTTTCCATCACAAGAATAAACTATGAAGTTTCTCAAAGCACCCCTGCTGTCTATATATAGAATAAATTCACCTTGGCCTTTCAAAGAATTAGGAGAGATCTCTATAGGTTGTGTCAACAAATCAGGAAAGAACCCCATTTCTGTGTTTATACTGAGTTTCACACAATACCATGTTTGACATGTTCTCTCTGCCCTTTATATATGTGACCATTAACAAAACTGTCAGCTCAGCATTGTCTGCTGGAGCACTTAGCAATGCTGCTAGTTCACTCTGAGGATCAGAGCCTCATGGAAGAGAAGCAGAGTAATGAAGGACACAGCGACTGAGTTTGGGATTGGAACCTGCATGATCATTGTCTGCTCCTTTATAATGTACCATCAGTGAAATTCTGACAAGGTGTGGAAATTGGGAATGGATCCTTTCCCTGTCAGCTCCTCTGAGCTGTGTTAATGGTCTGCTTCTGCCATTGCCAATGTCCCAAGGATAAGTTCTGTGTGACATAAGAAGCCTGCTGAGATAGATTTCATAACCCCCTGCCTCAGTATAATGAGTTTGTGGTGGAAGTATTAGACCTATGAATGCCTAGAGCAAATGGAAGGCACAATACTAAGTAATAGAGAAAGATTAAAAAATTATCTATTGTTTATTACACAATTGATATATAATTTAACATCTTATTTTATTGTTTTTGAACAGAGACCCCACTCTGCTTATTTGCCACACAGAAACCAGTATAATACAATGTCAATAATTAAGAAGGATTAGCAAAGATCTATGAATGTTGAATCCAGATACATATTTGAAGAAATAATTTTCAAAGGAGTGGCTTAGTGTTCTTTCATGCAAAATCTGGTGTGGGATACCCAGTATTGAAAAATCATGATATATAAATTCTATATTCTATTATACTTCTGTAAACAACTCTTAAAAGTCTGAACTTTTCTGTTTATATTTCCTGCTAGTCTGGAGTCAGCTGTATTGGAAGTAGCACTCCTACACATCAGGTCAGTATTTTAAAACATTTTCAGAGTAGTAAAGGAACCATGTGTATGATTCCAAAAGGTGGAGAGGAATCTAGAGCCTCCACTCTGGGGCACAGCTCTGCTGTCTTTCCATCTAACCATGCCTGTCCCCTCCATAGGACCTGACACTCTTATACTGAATGGGGGTGAGTCTCATCATGAAGAGCCTTGAAACTGCCTCTCTGTGAGACCAGATTGTTAGTTCCTAGTTTTCCAATTGAGGAATTCATTCTACAGTGAGATAATCTTCATTCATGGGGATTGAGAGGGCCTTTGAACTGGGTCATTTCTGTTATTGGAGCATGCCCAGGACAGTGTCAT